AACACACTTATTTAACAATTCCCTGTAAAACAATTTCTACGCAATTACTTTTCCTGGAATTCATTTTCTTTCCACCAATTTTTCATCCTTGCAATCAAACGGACCCTAAGTTGTTTGGTTTGGATTAAGATTGAGATATTTGTTATCATTTTTGTCGTTTATGATCTTAAGTCTCTATTTGGTAGAGATTAAAAGTAAGATTTTAATTTAAGTCAAATTCAACAATTGATTTTAATCATATATTTTATGAGACCAAACAATTTTTCAATTGCATATTTCATCCATTTTTATCAGAATTTACTAAAAATCTAATTTTATTCTTTACCAAACAAAAGATAAAAGCAAAATGGACAAGACTCAAGACATGCTGGAAAGGATTATTTCCGTGCCTAATCTTATATAGGAGGACGTTGGTACCAAGATTAAAAGGGGGTAGATACTGATTTCACATAAACGTTAGGTTGAGACCATATGTGCAAATAAGCCCACATTGAAATATACCTTGTTCGATGTCCATTTTTTTTAAAATACAATTTTTTCTCTTATTCTCGATGACACATTTTTCAATAAAATAATATTACCCATAATTGAAAAGTTTTTTTTCCTCATTTTTAATCAAATATTCTTTATGAATCTATTATTTCAAAATAAATTCTAAAAAAATATAAATTATTATTATTATTCGAACCAGTGGCATGCTTCGGGAGACCTTGCTGAAATCCGAGAAATCTCTCCCAGCAGAGAACCAATTCCTCCAGATCTGAATTCTTCACTATCAACAAGAATCCTTGATTATAATTTGTATATAGCTTCTACATATTTCTAATTCTTTTCAATCTCTGATCTCTTCAATTGAAATCAGTTCTTTAAATCAACAAGAAAAGCAAAATACGGACAGAAATGGGTTGTTTGCAATCAAACCCATTTCACAGGATGCTCGTTTTCCTCATCCTTTTCCTCTTTCTTTCGTTTTCATTCCCTCGTATTTTCGCCCAGGTAATGTCGTATTTTCTTGCTTTTTAGGGATTTGTATTTTGAGTTTGACGTTCTTGGTAATCATATTGCGTGTGCTTAATTTTAGGAATCTGATGGTGATGATGTAACCAAGGATCTGGGTCGGCGTAGTAAAGTGAGTATTTTGTGTTTCTAGATTGAAGAATCTGACAATTTGACGGCTGTGTTAATTGTGCTAGATCAAATGTTACAAACTTCTAAGGCCTAATGTACTTTATACCAACTTTGTATTTTTTTGCTTACCTTCTTGTACTCCTTTAGTTCTGGTACCATGATTGGATGCAAGTAATGTAGGTGGATTTACAAGCTCTGGCATGAGCATGTTTGTGGGTTGTTATTAAGCAAACTCCAGCTGTTCTGCACTCATGATTGATCAACTTATAAATAATAAGAAAAGGATTTCAGGTGTATCACTTGGATTTTTATTTTACTTTATGGTCAGGGGACAACTGAAAATAAGTGAATCTTAAATATAATTTTTCTTGAAAATTGATTCATGTTCACGGTGTTTATTATTTTTTCCTTTTCTAGTGTGGTTACATCGTGAATCTTTTGTATCTATGGACTGGTTGTTATAGTTTGTGATCATTTTTTCATTTTGGTTGATAGATTTTTGTGGACAAGATAAAAACTGGTATTGTAAGAGATGAGAAAAATCCTGATTCCATTAATGTTGGTGTTGGCCTGGACTCTGGTCTGGGAATATTCGATGCTATCTTTGCGAGTTTCTCCATGATTCTTGTCAGTGAGGTTAGTGCATTTGTTTGTGCAGTATCATTATATTATGTATCATATCGAGTCTTGCTAATGACATGTTTGTTTCTCTGCTTTGATGGTTCTTACTAAAAATTAAGTTCTTAGTGGTAGTTGGATGAAATAACAGATTTTTGCCAGTTTTACAATGAAAACATAACAGAAAGAATATTTAAACTACAAAGTATTTATTTCATCTTGTTTATTTAATTTAGTCTAACGAATGTATTCTACTGATGGCTGCTGCTAGATTGGAGATGAAACCTTTATTATAGCAGCTCTCATGGCAATGCGTCATCCCAAGTCAATTGTTCTATCTGGTGCACTCAGTGCCTTGTTTGTGATGACAGTAAGATGGTTAATCTCTTATACCATTATACCATTTCCTGAGTGAAGTGTATG